ATGACTAAACAGTCATGTGAGCTTGGTCACTTGCTTCCCCTTCTGCTTTGGTTCGATGGATGGCCATCGGCCCTGGCTCTGCAGCCTCCGTGGTGACTGGGAGCAGATGGGGAACATCTGAGGGCAGCATTTTGACAGGATAAGAAGCAATAACTAATATAAAAATTAGCTGGGGAGCCGGGCGCGGTGGCTCATGCCTGTAATCCCAGCATTTTGGGAGGCCAAGGCAGGTGGATCACCTGAGGTCACGAGTTTGAGACCAGCCTGGGCAACATGGTGAAACCCCGTCTGTCTCTACTAAAAATATAAAAATTAGCAAAGTGTGGCCGGGCGCAGTGGCTCAAGCCTGTAATCCCAGCACTTTGGGAGGCCGAGACGGGCGGATCACAAGGTCAGGAGATCGAGACCATCCTGGCTAACCCGGTGAAACCCCGTCTCTACTAAAAAAATACAAAAAACTAGCCGGGTGAGGTGGCGGGCGCCTGTAGTCCCAGCTACTCGGGAGGCTGAGGCAGGAGAATGGCCTAAAAACTCGGGAGGCGGAGCTTGTAGTGAGCTGAGATCCGGCCACTGCACTCCAACCTGGGCGACAGAGCGAGACTCCGTCTCAAAAAAAAAAAAAAAAATTAGCAAAGTGTGGTGGGGTGCACTTGTAATCCCAGCTACTTGGGAGGCTGAGGCTGGAGAATTGCTTGAACCTGGGAGGCAAAGGTTGCAGTAAGCTGAGATCATATCACTGCACTCAAGTCTAGGCAACACAGTGAAAGAGTGAGACTGTCTCAAAAAAAAAAAAAAAAAAAAAGAAGCAATGACTACTCTAAAACCCAAGGTCAACCAACAGCCACCTTGGCGGCAGATCCCCAAGCTGCTGGTAACAATAGCCACCATTTACTGGGTTCTGTCATGCGCCAGACCCTGTCTTAAGTGTTTACATACATTATCTGCTTTAATCCTCACCACAACCTGGAAGGAAGCTGAGACTCAGAGACCTTCATTCATTTGCCAAGGACACACAGCTAACAAATGGAGGTGTCAGGATTCAAACCTGGGGCTAGAGCCAGGCATGGCGGCACACACCTGTAGTCCCAGCTATTCAGGAGGCTGAGGAGGAAGGATCACTTGAGCCCAAGAGTTTGAGACCCCATGTCTAACAATGTTTTTTAAACCTGGAGTGTCTGACTCAGGAGCGTGTGCTCATTCCTTCCCCGCATGCTGCCTGCACACATTCTCTTCCATGCAAGCCCTTCATCTGCTGACATCACTCCTATGTAACAGGCACCACGGAGGAGGCGGGAAAGACGCAGCCCTCAAGTCCACACCCCAGCAGGGACAATTTAGGACAATGAGAACTCTGAAGGCATGGAAACACAGGGAACTGGGGGTCAGTGCCATATTCTATTCAGCTGCTTCCCTGGCCTGACACTGAGTAGTCACCTGGTACATGTCAAACAGGTCTGAACAGAGTTAGAAACCAAGGCAAGGTGACCCCAAAGTAAGGAACATGCACATGTCACTCAGAGGCCATGGTGCCTCCACGTCCACCTTGGGCAACTATGTCCTCTCCAGAACAGGGTGAAACTGGTTTCCATCAAAAACTCTACAAGATGTTAATAGGTGGTAAAAAATAATAGAATAATAAATTGAAGATTCATATTAAATATTTTAAACAAAGAGCAGTTTTTAACTGCAGAATTCAGAACTTTTAGCATGCTTAGAGGCAATGCATCTCTTTACTTAAACACTTTTTAAATTAAAAAAAAATAATGGTGGCCAGGCGCGGTGGCTCACATCTGTAATCCCAGCACTTTTGGAGGCCAAGGCAGGCAAATCACTTGAGGTCAGGAGTTCAAGACTAGCCTGGCCAACATGGTGAAACCCCGTCTAATAAAAAGACAAAAAATTAGCTGGGTGTGGTGGTGTGCGCCAGTAGTCCCAACTACTTGGGAGGCTAAGGAAGGAGAATCACTTTAGCACGGGAGGTGGATGTGGCAGTGAGCCGAGATCATGCCACTGCACTCCAGCCTGGCCAACAGAGTCAGTCTCAGTCTCAAATAATGTTGATAATAATAATAATGGAGACTGGGGTCTCACCATGCTGTCCAGGCTGGTCTTGAGCTCCTGGGCTCAAGCAATCCTCCTACCTTGGCCTCCCAAAGTACTGGGATTACAGGTGTGAACCACCACTTCCCGCCCTTGCATTTCTTTTTTTTTTTTTTTTTGAGACGGAGTCTCGCGCTGTCGCCCAGGCTGGAGTGCAGTGGCACGATCTCAGCTCACTGCAAGCTCCGCCTCCCGGGTTTGCGCCATTCTCCTGCCTCAGCCTCCCGAGTAGCTGGGAGTACAGGCGCCCGCCACCTCGCCCAGCTAGTTTTTTGTATTTTTTAGTAGAGACGGGGTTTCACCGTGTTAGCCAAGATGGTCTCGATCTCCTGACCTCATGATCCGCCCGTCTCGGCCTCCCAAAGTGCTGGGATTACAGGCTTGAGCCACCACGCCCGGCCCCGCCCTTGCATTTCTAAAGAGGAAGCAGAAAGCAGTGTTTCCCAAATGTCTTTCAAGAGATGCCTACCAGTGTCCTGAGGAACACCAAGGGTCTGAGGCATCACCTTGCAAACACTGGATCAGGCATGGGCCTCTTGTTTTGAAACACAATTCGTGGGTTATCAAATATGGAAACATTCTCAGAGATCAGCTAGCCTGCCACTCGTTTTATAGATGGGGAAACTGAGGCCCAGAGAGGGAAGAAGGTTGACAAGGCAACACAGGGCCTCTACAGCCATTGGGTCTTGACCCCAGCCCTTGGGGTCCAGAGGCCCAGCTCCAGCTGCCTGTTTGGCTGGACCAGGTTCCAGGTTTCTATGTAGGTCTCTCCTATCAAACCCTCAACTCCTCAAAGCCAAGGTCTGGTCTCTCTCACCTCCCAGCCCCAACTCCTGGCCCAGTACCTTGCACAGAGGATACATTCACAGAAATTCCCAGCAGCTGGAAAGGCTCAGGGTAGACGCCAGGAAGGGCTTTCCAGCAGCTGCGTACAGATGGCAGGAACGGGCAGTGAACTTCTCTGAAGGCTTCTCAGAAGAGGGCAGAGGCCGGGCTGCCAGAGGCAGTGCAGGGCACTGGCTCCAGCTTCCTGGTTTCCAGAAAGGGTGGAGTTGGGAGTGAAGGAAGATTCCAACCCCAAGAGCTGCCTTCCTGGCCTGGGTCTGAGACCCTCAGCTTGCACCAGAAACAGGGAGGGGCAAGAGCCCCTGTTGGGACAAGCCATGGAATGCCATCCTCCTCCCCCAGAGTTCAGGCCCTTTGCCTCCAGGAAGCCACTCCTGCCCACTCCAGCCTCCCTGATCTTTTCCTCCTTGGAACTCTGACAGCAACTCAGCTCAGGGAAGGTGAGCCGAGGCTGAGCATGGCCTCAGGGGCTCCCAATAGGAAGTGGAGACTGGCCCGTCCTCTAGGCCATGCAGTACGGAGGCAAAGCACATCTGAAGGTGTCTACTCCTCTGAGGGAAAGTCATAGAGAAAAGAATTCCAACCAAGGTGCCCAAGGTGTGTCCCAGAAGTGGACCTCTCAGTGGGGCTGCAGCAGTGCCTAGATCGCCAGGAGGCAGTGGAAGAACAGTGCTCCAGGGGAAGGCAGAGCAGGCCCAAAGGCCCAGGCAAGGAAAGGAGGTAGGAGCAGGAATACCTGCAGCTGCACTTGCAGCCTAGGGGCAGTAAAGCAGAGTGATCAGAGGTTGGGCTGGGACCAACCACAGGTCCCAGTCCACATCCTACCATCATTTGCTGGGCAAGCTCAGGCCCGTCGCTCAATCAATTTGTGCCTCAGTTTCCTTCCTAAAATGAGAATAATAGCATCTACTCATAGGGTTGTTGGGAGGATGAAGTCCGATGACAGGAGCCCTCAGAGCTGAGCCAGCACCTGGGGAGGCCCTAGAGCGTCGCCTTCGCTGTTAAAGGGCATGGCACAGGAGGCCCACCTATGACAGAGGAGCTTGTCATCCCAAGCAGGAGTGCCACCTGGTCTGACATTAGGATTTAAAAGGCAAATTATAAACTCCTGACGGTGAGGCCGCGGTGGCTGCTCGGTAAATACTTGTGCACTTGACCTGAGGTGAGCATGCTCCACACCTCCCAGTGCTGGCCTAATAGCTAAATGATTTCCTCTGACTCACATTTATTGAGCAGTCACAGTCACTATGCTAGGTAGGGGTGTGTGTGTGTGTGTGTGTGTGTGTGTGTGTATTCTTATTCAATTCTCTCATCACTTGGGGATATCACAGGTGCATAAGATTATCAGCATTGTACATATGCAAAAGCCTAGTCCAGAGAGGTTAATAGCATGATTTCCCTAAGGCTCCTTGGGTATTAGTGGCAGGATTTCTTGACTTCGAGTCACTTTCCGCTGCACCCCAGACTGAGGATGACACAGCCTTATCCAAAGGTGGTGGTGGCCTAGAAATTGCTCAGGGGAACTCCCACAGCCACCCCAGTGCACCCAGACTCGGCTGAAGACCCACAGGGCGGCTTCTGTCTGTCACTACGCTGCCCTCGACCACTAACCTGTGCCCATCGGCCCTCCACCTTCCCAGTGCATAGTTCCTCCCCTGCCACACCCTGAAGCTCTCTGGATACCCCAGTATAACCTGCCTGGCTGGTGGGTCCAGTACCCAAGCCCGCTCCTCCATCCCTGGTGATTTTGGTTCAGCATCCAGAGACTCGGTGAAGATTTCCCTGGGAACTTCAAGCCTGCACCTCAGCCTCAGAAATTCAGAATCAACCTGTCTGGGGTGGGATCTGGGCTCCAGTATGTTTTTGTTGTTGTTGTTTGTTTGTTTGAGACAGAGTCTTACTTGTCACCCAAGCTGCAGTGCAGTGGCGCCATCTCGGCTCACTGCAACCTCCACCTCTTCAGTTCAAGTGATTCTCCTGCCTCAGGCTCCCATGTAGCTGGGATTACAGGTGCATGCCACCACGCCCAGTTAATTTTTGTATTTTTAGTAGACATGGGGTTTCACCATGTTGGCCAGGCTGGTCTCGAACTCCTGACCTCAGGTCATCTGCCCGCCTCGGCCTCCCAAAGTGCTGGGATTACAGGAATGAGTCACCATGCCTGGCCCAGTATGTTTTTCTTAATTCCACAAGTGATTCTAAATTCAACAAGAATTAGAGCCAGTCCCAGGCAACTGATTAGAAATGCAGAACCGCAGGCCCCACCCCAACCTGAAGAATCCCAGTGCACTTCCCATGTGAGAAACACTGCCCTACGCCAAACCCCACATCCACAAGCCAGGCCCTGTGAAAGGCCCCCACGGGGCAACTGGATGTAGGAGGATGCACAGGCCAGATAGAATTAAAGAGTGGATTGCCAGGACCCTCCAGGTCGCATCCACACAGCACTCAGAGGTGCTAAATGCTTTCCCTGTGTTCCTTCATCCCATCTCAGCCCTGTTCTCTGAGAGTCAGGAAGACAGTCTCATGCCTGTGTGGGGAAACTGAGGTGAGGGCAGAGCCTCAACTTGACCAGACCGTCCCTCACTCCTGCATGGCCCCTGGCTCTGCAGCCAGTAGATTTCCTGACCTTCATCTCAGTGTATCCTGCAGGGCAGGCAGAGAGGGAGGGTGACCATTGTCCCATGTGACAAGTGAGGGACCATGGACCCAGGGTGCGGAACACAGGTGGAGCCTTCCATAAAGCAGGGCCGGTTCCCTCAGGAAGAGGACTTGGGAGCTGGGGGGTGAAGGGTAACTGCTGACCAGAGGCAGCTCTGCCAGGCAGTGTCATCAGTGGGTTTCATGTTTGACTGACAGATATTTCTTTCCTCTCCTCCTCTCCGGGGCCCATCTTCTGAGTAAATCTAGGACCTGCCTTAACAAAAGCCAGGCCAAGTCCCAGGAAAACTCTGTTGCTCTAGAAAGGCGTCCTCGGGCCATGGAAGGAAGCCTGGATTTCCACCATTACGCTTAGACCACAGGCCCCTCTCTGCTGCGGAATAAACACCCAGAGAGAGGGCAGGTTACAGAGCCCACCAGGCACCACACCTTGCCATGGACGGTGACAAACCCTCACTTCAGGACAGAGAGATGATGGGGGGTGGGGTAAGGGGGTCAAGGCATCCCTGGGGAAGGGTCAAGAATGAGGGGTAAAGGGACCCCTGCCACCCCCAGCAGGGAAAGGAGCAGAAGGTGACACTGGCCCTCCTGTTGTCCTGCTGGGGCAGAGGCCCAGGTGTCTTCAGCCAGCATCCCTCCCCTCTCCAAGCTCCCTGCTCTTCAGGAATGAGTGTGGGTCTTTCACCCTCCCCTGCTGGAGAACACTGGGTTCCCAGGGTCTGGGATGGGATGGAGGGGATCCCAGTTGCCAGCATGGTGGGCAGGGATGTGTTCGCAGCAGGGGCCCCAACCACACACACAGCACTGGTCATCTGACAGCCCTTCCCACCCCCCTGCAGGCCCACCTGCCTCACCCAACACTGCTCAGCAGAAAGCCCAGCACAGCCCTGAGAGGAAGGCAGTGTCTGTGCGGGGACAAGGGAGACAGAGAGGGAGTGGCCCCTTCTGTCTAGCGTGGCTTCCTGAAGACAGAGCGTGCCCACTGCTACCCCCACCCCCATCCTGGCCCAGCTGGGCCAAGGAGGGCAAAGGAGGAAGCAGGGAGTTAGAGAGGGGGCAGCTGTGGGACCCCACATTCCACCTCCTAACTCTGGGCTCTTTCCCTCCACAACCACCCCTCCTGCCCCAGGGGGGTCTCAGGCCAGTCACAGACACGGCAGAGAGCGGGGAGGCCCTTTCCTCAAAGAGGAGGAACTGAGGGGTGGAAGGATGAGTGGGGACCCACCGGGAAAGAGAGATGCCAGGCAGGCAGGCAGCGGGCGGGCAGCAGCGGGTGTTGGAGGCGACTGCGGGGCAGCCGGGACACGACTGGGTAGATGCTCGTCCCTCGTCCCTCTGTCCATCCAGGGCGGCTCCTCTCCGGGCGGTTCTGAGGCCGAGCGGGCGCTGTTAAAAAGCTTTTTATGTGTGTGTGTGTTAATCACATGATTGCCGTTCACCTGTATTTCGAACAAAGACAGCTCACTGTTTCAAGGCCCCGAACAAGAGTCTGGGCACAGGGAAGAGAAGGGAGGCGGGGGGAGGAGGGTTGGCAGCGCCGGGGGTGGCGTCGAGGAAAACTGGGGGGAGATTGTCCAAGGCCAGCAAGCGAGAGAAAGAGAAAACCCTTATCAAACTCCTAATTCACTGGGCTCCGAGGCCCCAGACACACTGGCCCGATTGTCTGGCTGGTTGTGTGTGTGAGCATGTGTGTGTGTGTGTGTGTGCTCCAGTGTCCGCTCCCCCCACCCCCAACATGCCTCTGCCTCGTGTGACTACCTCATTGTGTCCCATTACCCACCCCCCACATCCCTTTGGCCTTTCCCAAGCATGAGGCCTTGCCTCCCAGACCCCTTGTAGCCCACTCCAACTCCAGACAGGACCCCTTGGGGTGGGCTTGGGGCCTTGCCCAACTACTGAGGAGCTGAGAACCAATGTGGCCCCGGCTCCATTGCATACCCCACATACACCCCACCTCGGCCTCAACACCCGGGCAGGGCTGCCCTCAGTTAAGAGTACGGCACTGTGACCTTTGGAGGAGAGGCCTAGGAAAGAGAGAGGAAAAGGTGTCAGGGGAGGATGGCCAGGAAAGAAAAGGGGAGGGAGGGAGAGGTGGGCAGAGGAGGGAAGAGGCAGCGCAAGTCCCCACCCCTTCTTGGGGTCAGGGAATAGAGGACTTCGTGACAACCAGGACTAGTACTCCCCCACCCTCTCCCAAGACAGGGTGAGCCCAGTGTGGAAGGAGTTGGGTCCCAGGAAGTAGGAACCCAAAATGCCTCCAAGACCTACTGAGAGAGGACCCTACCCTGTCCCACCTTGGCCTCTTGGCAGCTTTAGTCTTGTGTTTCCACCTTGAACCAGACCAGCCCGTGTGTGTGTGCTGGGTGTCTGTAGAGAACAGACCGGGGGTCAAGCTGGGGCTCTACACTTCTCAGAGGGAGCCCTGAGAAGTCCCTCACACTGTACAGGATGGGGCAGAAAGGGCCGCCTGGGAAAAGATGGGAGGCAGGGTGAGGAGCTGGGCATCAGTGCCTGGCACACAGTAGGCACTCAACAGGATTTTGCAGATGAAGCAGCTCGGGCCTGCCACCCTCACAGGCCCGCAGGACCCTCACCACCTTCACATCTCTCCCTAGTTCCCTGCCAAGTGCCCATCCTGCCACCTGAGGCAGACTTTGGGAGTTCCGGCTGGGCCCAGTTTTCTTCCATTCAACAGGTTCTGAGCCTCCATCCTACATCTCTTCCTTTCCTGGCCTAACCTCCCCTTCGCCTCCCGGACTAAGCTCAAGCTAAGCCCCAGCGAGATGGGCCTGGGCAGCAGGGCAGGGAGCTGGGTGGGGGGGCCTGGGCTCCGGGTGGAGGAGCCCTGAGTGTTGGGGATGAAGGAAAGCCTGGAGGCTCCACCTTCTGCCCTTCCCTCCCTCCTCTCCCCCTCCCCCCTCTCCCCCTCCTTCCTTCCCCAGCCCTCTGCAGCGGCTCAGTCGCTCAGTCAGTCTCGGGCTGTCCGGCCAGGGTGGTTGGTGGTAAGGATTCAGGCTCCGTCCTAACGAGGCCGTGGCCTGAGGCTCAGGGCCCCCCGCCCCTCCCTCCCAGCCCACCAGCGTTACCCCCCAGCCCCGAGCTGGACCGCACACCTTGGGACACGGTTTTCCACTTCCTAAGGACGAGCCCCAGACTGGAGGAGAGGTCCGAGGAGGTGAGTGCGCAGCCTGCTCCTCCCTGGCCCGCCCAGGCCTGGGACCCTGCTGGGTGGGGTGGAGAGAGGCGACACCCCGCCCTTGCCCCCCACCTGGCTCTCCTCTAAACCCCGTTGGGGCAGGCTGAGGGAAGAAGGAAAGGTGAGAGAAAAGGTGGGAAATTCCAGGGGCCGGGATTAGAGCAAAATAAAGGTTCCGTTTTTTTCTTCCTATCATCAACAAACCTCCACCCAAAAAAGGAGGCTAAAAAAAAAGCCACCCACACCAAGAGACGGTTGGGACCAGGTGGTGGGAAGACGCAGAGGCAGGACGCACCCACCTAGAGTCTGGCATGTGCGTGGGCCCCAGGGGCCAGAGTGGGTTTAGCTGGAGCTAGGAAGGGCCGCCACCTCGGGGCTGTCCCCGCGTCCTGTCCCAGGCCGCCCTCGAGGCTGCGCGCGCGGTCGCTCCATCGCGCCCTCCTTCCATCCAGGTGGGCGTTGGACTCTTTGCGAGGACCCCGGCGGCTGGCCCGGGGGAGGCGGCCGAGGCGGCGGCGGCGGCGGCCGGGGGCGACATGGCGGAGGAGCAGGACCTATCGGAGGTGGAGCTGAGCCCCGTAGGCTCGGAGGAGCCCCCGGCGGCGGCGGCGGCGGCCGGGGGCGACATGGCGGAGGAGCAGGACCTATCGGAGGTGGAGCTGAGCCCCGTAGGCTCGGAGGAGCCCCGCTGCCTGTCCCCGGGGAGCGCGCCCTCACTAGGGCCCGACGGCGGCGGCGGCGGCGGATCGGGCCTGCGAGCCAGCCCGGGGCCTGGCGAGCTGGGCAAGGTCAAGAAGGAGCAGCAGGACGGCGAGGCGGACGATGACAAGTTCCCCGTGTGCATCCGCGAGGCCGTCAGCCAGGTGCTCAGCGGCTATGACTGGACGCTGGTGCCCATGCCCGTGCGCGTCAACGGCGCCAGCAAGAGCAAGCCGCACGTCAAGCGGCCCATGAACGCCTTCATGGTGTGGGCGCAGGCGGCGCGCAGGAAGCTCGCGGACCAGTACCCGCACCTGCACAACGCCGAGCTCAGCAAGACGCTGGGCAAGCTCTGGAGGTGAGCACCCGACCGCCCCCCGGGCTCGGGCCCTCTGGCTTCGGGTGGATTCAGGGTAGCCGAGGCGGCCCGGCCTCCTGCACCCCGGAGCGGGACTGCCTGGCAGTCCTCCTTGGATAGGGCTGGAAGACCAGGTGTGGGGACCCCGCCCGCCCTTCCACCACAAGGACCCTAGAACTCCGAATTCCAGCAGCCTAGGCCAGGTCTTCCCACCGGGCGGCGGGCAGGAAGGCGCCCCCTCGTGGTTGGAATTTTGGGGGTGGCAGACCGTGGGGCCTGGGGCTTTGGAGAAAGGGAAGGAAGCCTTCACTAACTCCCTGCCCACAGATATGCACACTCATGCCACCAGCTGCTGTGGTCAGGAGGATTCGAGGGAAACGCTTGGAAAGAACCAAAGGGTTGGCTGGAGATGCAGGGAAACTGAGGCAGTCAGATGGAGAACTCGGGAGGTTCAAAGAAAACAAGGAATTCAGATGAGAGTCTTTGGAAGAGTGGGGGATGAAGAACTGCGGGTACAAATGTTTCTGCTGCTGCAGGATCTCATCCTATCCTTGGGGTCTTCCCTGGGACTTTCTGACCCCACCCTCCTTTGAGTTGGGGGCTTCTTCATCCTCCTAGGGAGAGGACACACAGAAAGGGGCCTCCCCCTCCTGCTCTGCCCCAGAGCCACCAAGTTGATCTCTTTCCTTTCCTCCCTCTCCCAGTTCGGCGCCATCTTCCCTGCCAGGGCCCCACCCCAACGTTGAGCAACCTCTTCCCCCCTGCCCCAGAGCTGGAACTGAGCACTCTGGCCAGAAGGAAACCTTGGCCCCCTTCCTGCCCAGGGGCCCTCAGAGTCCCAGGTTCCCTGGGACCAGCCCACACCTCTAGGAAAAACATCCCCCCCAGGGAACAATTCTGCCACCCTCGACTCAGGTCTGGGGTTCAGCCAGGCCTCCTGGGGATGTGTGGAACAAGGCAACCCCCTACTCCCACCCCGGGAATGCCAGAGCAGCTCCGAAAGAGAACAGGGACTCCAGGAGATGTGAGTCGGTAGCAGTCACCTGATTCCCGCTAGACTGGCCAAGAGATAGGCCCAGAAAGGCAAAGGAATTGCAAAGGTCACATAGAAGTTAGTGGCAGAGCCAGGGCCAGAACCCAGGACTCCCATACTCTCTGTCCAGAGGACTTCCCCCGACCCTGGTGACAGTGGTGGATCACCTACCCTCTGAGGAGTGGTCAGAATGTTGTGGGGAAGCAAGAAGATAAAGATAAGAACAAGAGTGAGGAGCATCTGGGTTCCAGAAAATTAGGGCTTTGTCAGAGGAGCCCGGCTGTCTTCCACTGCCCTTCCCCGTGCTGACCACAGTTGGGTAGAGATTGGGTCTAGAAACTTAGCGTGGTAGAAGGTGCAGGAGGGTCTCCAAGAGACCAAAAGATTCACATCCAGCCCCCTGGCCTGTTCTTGCCATGTGTTTGCTGAAGACCTGGTGCCCCTTCCCCTGCCCCTTCTCAGCCCTCAGTGCCCTGCTCACCCAGGGCAGGCCCAGGGCTCAGCAACCAGCCCGTTGTGTGGACCCAGACAGCCCAGTTCTGCTCAAGAGTAGAGGTCACAGCTAGCTCCTCCGCCCAAGGTCCATCCAGATCTGGGTGGGGCTTGGCCCAGGCCGGTACCTTTAGTGCCAGGGGACAAAGAACAGCAAGTGAGAAACAGACAACCAGGAGAGACATACAGACAGGGCAGACCCTGAGGACCATGAGAAGACCACAGTGCGAGCCCAATGAGAGTCAAAGCAAGGACGGACCTAATTCTCCCTCCATCTCCCATTGCCAAGGGTTTAAGATTGGCTCCTCCATTGTCCCTGTCCCCAGGTTCCCCCAGCCCAGAACCCTGGGCTTGAACTCCCTTCAGGAGGACTTATTCTTGGCCATCACTCAAGCTGTGTGCACATGAGCCAGCCTGAGGTGTGGCAGTCAGGAAAACTGGCACCACTAGCTGAGGACCCAATCCCAGGGGGAGGACAGGGCCAGAACCATGGCAAGGATCAAAGGCAATGCCAACAGATGGTGGCTCTCTGGACCCTGGAGGGGGGTCCTGAGAGACCTGTGGGTATGCACTGGGCTGGCCAATTGCTCCAGGGGCTTCTCCTGAAACCTCCTCAAGC